GCGCCGGAAGGCCAGTCGATCATCATCGCGGAAGGAGACTTGTTCGACCAGGAGACGGTTGTGTCATTGGAACTGGTGTCAGAGGCAGATGAATCCGAGGCGGCAGGGATGAGTTCCATGATCACCGCGGAGTCGGTCGCTTTTGAGTCCGTGACGGAGGGCACCAGCACATCCAAGCAACCGCCAACTCCGCCGCCACCAAGGCGCGGAACTGCTGCAAAGAGCGCTGTGGGGGAACCCCAGTCGACTGGTTTCATCGAAATTGGAGACGAGTCGGACCCCACGGCTGCCGGTTCGGCCGACAAGCCCCAGGTGAAGGCGATGCCGAGGATTGCAAAGGCCAAAGCGCCGCCTGGCAACGCCGAGGGGGAACCCCGGTCGAAGAAGCAGAAGGACCCGAAGCAGGAAAAGATCTTTTGGGAGGACTGGGCCAAAACCCGGAAGATCAACACGAAGATCCCGGCCGAGGAGCAGTGCGAGTGGCTCGAGGTTGAGGATATGGGGCATGTCCCCAAGGTCAATATGGACCGCGATTACAGGCTTGTGGCTATCTCGAAAAAGATGTCGTACTTCCTCCGGGGAGGGGCATTCAAGGACGGGAAACCACACCCACCATTCCGTGGAATCGATTTGTCGGTGGAGTTCGATGCACTGGTCAGGCATTTGAACGACCGGATTGCCAATGTCATGCCTTGGGAGGTGATGATCTGCATCCGGAATAACAATACCCGGAGATTCCGCGTGATGGTTGGATTGGGGGAAGCATCCTGGAAAGGATTGCCGTATCAGGCGTTGCGGGTGAGGGCCGTGCAAGGACACCACAACGAGCTCACCAGGAAATACACCGAGCAGGCAATTCTGACGAATTTGTATTCCTTTGACGAAGAGTTCACTGCGGCAAAGTACTTGGGCGGGCAATACCCGAGAGCGGTACGGCATCCCGAGCAGACGGATCTCTGGCGCAGGGGCTTCCCCTGCTGTTCTCTACCATACCTGTGACCTCAGGTCTGCCGAGAGCATTATCAAGTTTGGCCTGGTCCCGGGGGGCTATCCGAAGTCGACAGGCAGAGCCCACGTCTACTTCAACCCCACGCCACCCTGGGAGGCACAGATGAGGAAGCTGGCGGGAACGCGAGCCGGAAGGCCCGTCACGATTGCTTTCGATACGGAGCTCATGATGCAAGACGGCATTCGACTCTTCACGAGCGATGAGGCGTTTATGTCTGCCGATTGGGTTGGAAATGCATATAGTATTTACGCTTTCCACACCCGCAAGAATGAGTTCCTCTATTTCAATCGTGCGTACCCCGAGCTTCGCAAAAGGTACCGCGAAGCGTTGACATCCGAGCTCACGCCAGGTCCCCAGGAAGCCAATCCGAACTTCTTCAGAAGTGAAAACACCCTAACCGCAGAAAAGGCATGGAGGCATTGGCGGACTGTCGTTGAGGGGACGAAGAACGGCAAATTGCTTCCTGGTGCCGTTACTGAGATTGCCACGATCGATGAGCTCGCTCCCCGGAAGGGGAAGTCGAATGAGAGACCTGCAGGGCCGACATACCAGGTTGCGCCTGCAACCCGTCGACGGGTGCCCGAGCTCTCCAGGGGAGAGAAAGGGCATGGTCGCGGCTGGAACAACCTTCGGAACCGCTACCAGAACGAGCCAAAGTGGGAAGACCTCTTTTTCACGACCATGATGAAGAACCCGGTTGTGAAGTGCTGGAATAAGAGGTGTGGCAACCAGCAGATCGACGGCTACCTTTTGTGTCAGGAATGCCGATCAGATATGGTCGAGTGGACGGATGCCCGGATCGCCACCGAGGTTGTGCGCCTTGAGCACACCGCGTCTCTCCAAAACATGGTCTTCTACTTGGAAGACCTCCAGGGGGGCGGTGGGAAGTGGATCCGCTCCAAGCATCACGCCAAGGAAGGCGACAAGCGGGGAGGAATCTCCGTCGAGGCGTCACTCAGAAAGACGGCAAAGACGCATCTGACCAAAGCGCTGGCAATGGGCTGCGAGAAGGTGTCCGACCGCCTCTCGGTCGACCCGTTCTATGCCTATAATTGCGCTACGCAAGGGTTGACTCCTGAAAGCCTGGATTTCCTAGGCAGGATCGCCCGAGCGATCGTTGCAGACCCTGGCCGCACACGGGAGGAGCGCGATCGGGGAGGGTCTCAGAACACTGGCACGAAGTTGGTGTTCATTCCCAGCCCCAACAAGCGCGATCCCCACGAGTTGAACGTGTCAACGGAGGCTTTCATCGCGCACCATGCGAGATTCTACACCATCATGCAGTTTGCGGTCATGTGTGCCTATCGTTTCATTCCCGGCAAGCAGGTGCTTATTATCATTGGGCACAGCGGAGCATACGTCCCGGAAGGGAGCGTCGAGAACATCTTGGAGGTGATGATCAGCTTTATCCGTACCTCCTGGGTAAAGCACGACTCCCAAGGAACGATTAGCACAGGCGAACTGGAGATCCCGCAATTCTCATCCGGCCGGACAAGAAGCTATCCTGTCGAGGCGAGGAACACTCAGTGGAGGGCAATCACCCGGTCCATCCGCCCCGAGCCCTATGCCAAGGGAAAGGGCAAGGGCAAAGGCAAGAACAAGGAGCGTCAGGACTGGAGCTCTTGGAATTACGGGTGGTCCTATGGATGGGATCAATGGCGTCAGGGCCCGTGGGGATGGTGAGCACCCGCATCAATCACGAAAAGTTTAGCTTTTGTTGCGGTGACCTTTTCAAACTTCATTGGTGATGTCATGTTCGAAACCTATTATCTTTCATCCATTGATGCCGCAACATTAGCTGTGCCGAGTTTGCACGCCCGGCGGAAGCTGCGGCCGTAGGTCAATCCACGGCCGCCACCACCGGCTGTCATTTCGATTTTGCCCATCGGAAGCTGTGGTCGTGAGATCACCTCCGTTTGCGGCAACAAAATGAATTCAGTTTCAAGCATTCACATGAGAAATTACATGTGTATTGCCCGACGGAAGTCGTGGTCGGCCGACTCGATTGGCATGCTCCTGCAAAAGACCAAATGCATTGCAGTTGTAGCGGCCATTGATGCAACAGGCCTCAAACCACCATGGCTTGCCACCTATCACACTGAGGCTCAACGTCTTCATCGTCGCGACCTCAGAGGACTTTGCTTCAGGCCTGGGGGGGAAACATGTACAACGTACTGTTCTCACCAACGCACCTCTGCAAAGCGGGGGGTGTTGATAGGTAGTGGCATTCCGACATGATACTGGCTCAAGAAAAAATTGACTGCCGCCCGTGCTGACATTTAGGTAGATTCCACCTTTCAACACACATCATGCCCAACATAAAAGTTGAAGAGCCTGCCATGTTGAACGACCCAGAATCATGCGCAACTTAGGGAAAGACAGCTATGAGTTTGGCGACATCACCAAAGCCGCGGACGCCAAGGCAAAAGCTGAGTCTCGGACAGCAGGGATTTGCGGGAATTCCAGTAGGGACCCTAGCCCTTCCCAAAGATACAGTCTTTTGGGGGGGTTGGCCAGTGTGCAGGGCAAGACATACAACAAGGAAATGGGCCGCAACATTCTTCAAGATGGATAATTCTGCTCTGCAACCAACGTAAGGTCCACGGAGACATGCGAGGGGCATGTTTAAGCGTGTTTAAAACGGGTCGTCTCAACACGTTCGAGCACTCCTACGACAATGGCACAGGAGAGATGCGCGGGGAACGCTGAATTATTATCTTTCAACAGCACCAGTGAGGGTCCGAGGAGAGATGAGAGAGGTACGGGGCAGGGGCACGTTGAACGATGTTTAAACCAGATCTTTCAACATCCTGCGCTGTGGCAGGCGGTGCACGTCCGGGGTTGGTATGAGATGGGCCTCTCACTTTCTGGAGGCAAGTTCATCGCTATGCGGGCGGCAGTTGTTTTGCGTGGGCAAGCTCACTTAGAGGCAAAGCAAGCCCACCATGATGATGTAGGTTCTTTACTTGGAGATCCCTTGATTCAATTTAACTTGTTTGTGTTATTTGCTACTAGTATTGCACATGCCTCACCTGATTACGACCGATCATCACCAAACAGTTCTGCTCAGCTGAAGAACGGTGAGGTCAACCTCGTTTTTTTTTTTTTCTCGCCCGTGGTGAGCGGCGCCACAAAAGTCCCTTGGGAAGAAGAGACCGCGTATTTAGGTTATTCTGGGGTGTCCCTTCTCGAATCTTCCGCGCATTTGGCGGCCTGACTACCATCTCTTTGGCTTTGGCTGTATCTTCGAAATAGACCTCGCACGAGTTTAACGAGCTTTAACCAAGAGACATGCGCTCCCCTCCGTAGTTCAGCCAATGTAAGCCGAGGAAGTGTGCAAGATCACTGGCAAAGATGTGTACGAGCTTGGTGACATCAGCAAGTTTCTGGATGGACAGGCCAAGTCGAAGGCAGGCTTGTAGACTGGCTTTGTGATGGCGAGGGGGTTCTCTTGGTCCTAACACGAACAAGCATCCAAACAGTTTTCCCATCTTGCCGCATCCGAACATTTCTGACATGTACTTGCGCGCGCGCGGGCTCTCGAAGGGTTTGGCATTGATTCGTTCCTTTCATAGGGGTTTTCCCTTACGACTTTCACAGGGCATGTTTCTTATTTAACAAATTCCACATGAGTTTTCCCGTTGATTCCACCCAGGGATATAGATCGAGCTCGCTATTTTCGGTGCCGTGTTCTGAGCTCAGAAACCCTGTAAACGGACAGCCTACGAGCTAATTTGGACATGGATAATCTGAGGGGCTATGTAGATATTTACAGCCAGTATCGTCCTATGACCATGGCGTAATTTGGTTTGGCAGTACCCCACAATCCAAAAACCTGTTCGAATTGTTGAGGTCCTGCTACTAGATGAGGACCAGGGGACGGTTGTTTGTTCCGATTAGATGTGCGAAGATCCACCATGTGCCGTCATCTTGGGTTTTGCTGGTGGGCTCAGGTCACCAGGTTTCGAGTTGGATGTTGAACACATCCATCATGTCAAGCACCAGGGGCCGCCGAGTGCCGAGGAATTGGTGTTTTTGGTATTGCTTCTCACACTTGGCATGATTCGTTTGTGTTTGCCAGGTCCGGTGGCTGTTGATTTTACATTGCGGTTCCTGCCATACCCTGACAGTTTGATATTTCTTGGTGTAGAAGGACTTGTCACTGGAGGTTTAAGTTTCAGCAAGGAATCAACGCACCGCTAAGTTTGAGGGGGGAGGTTGCACAGACAACAAGTGCTGACACACCAGGGGATTGGACATGCTGACGGCCATTTCTTTCCACTTGTTAGTTTATATATATATATATATGTTTATATATATATATTTTTTATATAGTTTTTTTTTCCGGGGGGGCTGTGCAGGTCGCCGATCTCCTGGGCAAGGAGCAGTACGAGTTTGGGGACATCTCCCGAGAGATCGCACGGAGAATTGGGGGGGGGGGCGGAGGTGATGCCGTTTGATGTGTGGCACTCCGCATTTTCAAAATGCAGACGGGGTGGGGGGGGGGGCGGTCCCTTGAAGATTTTAAGATGGTTTTGACCCAAAGGCGTTTTGAGGGGTCCAAGGTGTTGTCCAAGGTCCTCTGATTTCAAGGGAAACTGATCACCCAACTGGAAACGCTTGCAACATTGATGCCCAACCAGTGGATCCATCTTGGCGAGGGGAGAGCCATTGACATGACAGGGTGCAAGAACCAAACCTCGGACCCAGAGCAGGTGCCAGCTTAAGCTTTGGTCGGGTTACCGGTTTCAAACTGAACCAAGCAAAGGGGGCTGTCCCTCTTTTTCTCCTAGAAATCCATTGACATGAATGGTCCATGGTCCATTCTTGCCTGGGCGAAGCAGGTTCAAGAACTTGGCCGAACGGGTCCTTTCCGAGCTCCGAATGTGCGAATTTGTTGCTTTTTAGTTCGGTCGCCGAATCGAGGTAAAGCAAGCCAAAGACCCTGGTGGAGGTTCCTCGGGGGATTCTTGTGCATTTTTTTTGTTGAGGGTACTCATTTTGGGTTTGTGAAAGCAAACGGACCACCACCTATTTGAGGGGGTCCCTTTTCACAGCCAAAGCCGTATGTCCCCTTAACATCACCTTTGATGGGAGGGGAGCTCCCATTCATTTGTCTTAGAATCCAAGTGGACCAGATATAAATGATGTAGATGGAGAAATATGAATAAAGACAGCTAGAACTACATTTATTTAGATTCATCGTATCGTCTTATTATTTTGAAGATAAGCAAGTCTTCAGTTTTATGTTCATGCCAATAAGTATGTTCCTTTCACTCTGTTACTTTGTTCATGATGTCATTTCCTTTTTCATGTTTATTTATTGTCTATTTGTTTTTTTGGCATGTTCTGTTGTTGCCATGTACTATATGTATTGTTATCACGATTTTCATGTTTATCATTTTTCATGTTATCTCTTATTTTGTGTTCCAGATGAATAGACGAAACAATAACAGGAATAAAGAAAAGACACAATGAAGAGACATGATAGTCGGACATATACCATGCCAACCAATCAAAACTTTATATCGGAGGCAAATGAAATTGCAACATGTCATGAAGCCTTTGCCAGAATTTTCATTTATCTCCAAGTCTAAGCTGTTTGGGCCCTAAGTACTCGATATCTGCGGATTCGAAACAGAACAAACAACCCCATGTTCAAGTGGTCAGGTGGACTCCAGGTCGGGACTTCAGGTGGATTCCCCCTGGATTCCCTGCCACTTGGCACGCGCCAAACCGAAGGCCTCTGCGAGGCTGTGCGTTTTGCGGCAGGTGTCCTTTGAAGGCCCAAGATTTGGCGGTCCTTTTCCGGGCCAACTTTCTCCCACCGACAGGGGCTTTGGAGCGAACTCCGTCGCAGGAGGGCAAAGGAGGCGGAGATCGACGAAGAGGTGCCGGGGCGTCATTCATGGGATCTTCCTACTGGAGTCCGGTTTCCTCCAAGCAAGGCCTTTGTAGGGCAACAAGTTGGGAGATTTGGATTCCTGTTCTTGGTAAAACTGAAGGGGAAGGTACTCCCTAACTTCCAATCCACCAATCCGAACCATTGAGCATATTGGCACAAATGACAACAAGCTCACCTGGCAAAATGAGTTCACGCATGAAGGTTCATTATGGAGCGACTCCTTGCTTTCGGTTTGTGAAGCTGGTCGTGTGTGTCCTTGAAGAACACTTTGGTTGAACATAGCTGGATTCCAGCGGCTTTAGTTTGGTTTTGATTCTCATTTCTGCCAACACATGCAGTTGGGGGAGGGAGGTGACCTGTTCCCTTTGTGGGGAAGACTAGAAACGTGGTTGATTGGGGGGGCTCTGATGGTTGGCTTTCCTTGGTTTCCCTGTCCATCCAAGCAGCGACCCCCCATGAGACGGCAGCTGTAGGATCTTAAGCTGCTGCTGCGCGCGGTGCTGGCGCTGGGGGCGGGGCTGACGCCGGTGGCGCATTTGTTGCCCATCCAGGTGCTCCTCAACTTGTGCCTTGGACCGTGGTGCTTTTGGTGGGGACTGCCAGGGAATTGATCACCGCCTTGGGCGGGATTTCGGTAGGTTAGGTGGCCTTCATTTTGAGGGAGGGAAAGCCTGGGAAATTACAACCAGCTCAGCCTGGAAATAAAGCAAAGAGCTCACCCATGATGGAGTTGTCCTGCTTAGAGTTTGATTTCCAGTTTGGGCGCGCTGGATGCTAAATAACCAAAAAAAAGGCGGCTAGAGGCCGGAGGGTTGACAGTTTGTTGCAGTTCAACCGGTTATCTAAAGCTTTGTTTCAAATGGTTGGTATTTTTCCCGACACCCCATAAACACCCAGTCCGTGCAACACGTGATGGACTGAGTTTTAAGGCTTAACATGGCAATTTCATGGCTGACAGTGTTTTCCTTCAACCTCCAACGCTTTACAAAGCTGAGGATCCCATTTGGAGGGAACATGGCTACCGTTGCTGCTTTGGTTTTGAGGTCATTTCCCTCCAAGTGGCATCCCATGTTGCGAGCAAAACTGAGCTGTTTTTTTTGAACTGGCGTCACTCTCGGATGTTCAACCGGTTTTCTTGGCTCCGCGCCGGAGGTACGGCAGCAGCTTGGAGCTGGAGCTGAGTCAACGACTGCTGTCTCGGCTCACCGCCTCTATGGCCAAGGATTGTCGATGCGCTGTTGGTCCTAGTTGTAAACTTTAGCTAAGAAGGGTACCTACTCTCAACCGGTGTGAAAGTCAAAGTCTGCAAATGGTCTGATAATGACCGGGGTTCGCAGTATTCCCGTTTCAGGTCACTTTTTGGTTTCCAATTTTGGTGGGGTTGAGCTGAGTTCAAGTTTGTTTTGCCTGTTTACGATTGGTTTACTTTCCGGGCGATGGGGGGAGAGATTCTGCAACGCAGGAGTTGGATCGCAGAGCCAAAGAGGCCATGCTGGGCAAAGGCGCGCTGAGTATGATTCTTCTTTGTCGCGGCTTGGGCGGGGCTAAGCACGCTCAATTGGGCTTTGCCTGAAACCGAGACCTCCAGTCGGGTTTTGTCGAAATCGGGACGTCGAAATCGGGCAGGGCCGCTCAGACCTGAAATTACGCCTAATTACATGAGATAGGAAAGCAATGACAACTATGGGCAATGGGAACCCAACATTAAATAGACCCTGCTTGACAAATAATTCTCCAGTGGCCCATTTCACCCACGGGATCCTTTACCGGGCCCTTTTGGTTCCGGCGGGTTTATCAACCCATGGTGAACATTGCTCATTTAGGAGAGATCCCACGACCTCTCAAAAAAGGATCTCAGAAACAAGCTGGAACGAGGTTTCCTCCGAACCTCTCCTGGGCAGGATTTGGGGCTTTGGTTCTCTCCCAAGCTCAGCCAGGTTTGGCGTGCGGACTTGGGAAGTGAAATGGGACCCAGGCTCACGGTTCCTTATTCTAGGACTCGACAATCACTGGGAGAGCAACGCTGGTGCATGTGATCATATCTTGAGAGATGTGGACTGGGAGAAGCCGGGCTCGCAAAATCGGTTCCTGTGGTGGGGGGTCCGAAAATAGGGTTGGACCCCCAAAAAGGTTGTTTCTTGTGTTAAAGCAACGGACAAAACGCAGCCATAACCATAGAGAGCCCTCTCTTGGCTGATGAGCCCGCCTAGAACTGCCAACAAATTTCAGTGTACTCTGGCAAGATCGGCTCTCGATGTCACATCCATTCTCAGATAGAGGGAAGGGTGGTGCTTTTGTTTTGGCTGTAAACAGCCCCAAAAAAGCACCTCCAAAAACAGGCAAACAAACGAGCAAGTAAGCAACAACACACAAACTACACCAACGCGCCCACACGTCCACACACACACACCAACACACCAACGGACCAACACTCCGATGCAACACCGCACCATCACACCAATGCACCAACGCACCAACGCACCAACGCACCAACGCACCAACGCACCAACGCACCAACGCACCAACGCACCAACGCACCAACGCACCAACGCATCAACACCAACTGTCCAACCCATTGGCGGAAAAGAAAACCATCCCACCAACCCACCGACCCCCCACCGCACCAACGCACCAGCGCACATTAACGCAACAACGCGCCAACAGACCACACACACACACACGTACGCGCACCTACGCATATAAACACACATAAGCACGCGCATACGCACACAAGCACGCAGACAAGCACACACACACAAACAAACAAACAAACAAACAAAGGCAAACACCCATACAAGCAGAAGCACAAGCACAATGACAAACAATCAATCAAACAAAGAAACAAACAAAAAACAGCAAAGAAACAAGCAAGCACGCAAAGAAACATATAAGCAACCAACCAAACAAACAAACAAACAAATAGACAAGACAACCAAGCAAACAAGCAATCAAACACACAAACAAATAAACAAAGAAGCAAACACACAAACAAAACAACACAACACAATACAATGCAATACAATACAATACAGCACATTGCAATACAATACAATACAGCACAATACAATACAAATAAGCAATCAAACAAGAAACAAACGAACGAACAAACAAACAAACAAACAAACAAGCAAACAGATACACACACACAAACAACCACATAAACACACACACAAACAAACAAACACACACACACACAAACAACCAAACAAACCAACCAACCAACAAACAAAAACAAAAACAAAAACAAAAACAAGAACAAACAAACAAACAAACAAACAACTAAACACCCAAGCAACCACACACACACACACAACCACACACAACCACACAACCACACAACCACACAACCACACACAAACACACACACACACAGACACCCACACACAAACACACACACACAACCACACGCAACCACACACAACCACATATGTTTGGGCAACTGGAGTTCGCGGCGTCGCAAGAGGTTTTCGTGACCCCAACGCTTCCTCTATCAGAGAGGTTTTCCCAGCCCAACAACTACCCCCAAGGCTTCAATGGGATACAAAGCCATAATTCAGACACCATACAAGCGTTGTTATACATTACCCCGATTTCGCTTGGGCGCAGCGATTTGGAAACGAAACGGATACATTAGCGCGTTAGACAGCGCGTGCACCAGCCAATTTGGAGGATCCCCTTATCAAGCAGGTGGTGTTTGGATTTATCCTTGGGAACCTTGTTCATGTTTGTTTTTAAACCCAGATGCGAGGCAACGAGGACTACGTCTTGGGGGACCTGACGCGAGCCCAGATGCAGCGGAGCATCAAGGAACTCACGGGCAAGGCGGGCGGGGCGGGGTTCGGGACGGCTCCTAGGGTCTAATTGGGGTTGATGTTTGTTCTTTGTGAGGGTGTGTTGAAGGGAAATCAAAAAGACAACCACCATTTTGGGGGTCCCACTGTTCTGGGTAGACCTCTTTTCGGGTCGCTTTGCAGGGAGCGCAAAAGGACGACCATTTTGGAGGCAAACCGAGAAGGGCGAAAGGACATGAATTTTGATAGGGAACTCAAAAGTGGTTGGCATGAATCCCGGCCTAAATGATGTTCAAGGGTCGCACGCACTCTAAACATCAAGTCACGATTATGAGAGAATGCGGATAGTTGTTTAGCCCCTTACACTTACACGTTTACATTCCTTGAAGGGGCGGGCACGGCGGGTAGGTGGTGATAAGCCTGATTTAGGCCACGGACTTACTACAAGAGTAGGTGGATAGCCAGGGTTATGCCCTGTTAAGCAGAAAAAGGTTTGGGTGCGCTTGCGGTTTTCTCCAAACGTCGCCCCCCGTACTCTTTCAGTGCTCTCTGAATACCCAAATGGGCTCGATGCTTCCAGGAAAGTAGAATCCAAACCGTCACTTGCACTTGAGCAGCGGTTTTTAATCAAATGGACGGGTTTATACCAACAGGAAACTGCATGTAGTTTGCAGTCCTGGTTGGGGGTGTAGGCTTCTGTGCGTAGGCTGTTGCGTCACCCCTCGCGTACGATTTTCGCGTAGGCATTTGAACAATTAATGGCTCAATGCTGTTTGCCAAGTATAAAGGATTTTGCTTCTTTTGCCTTCCTTCTGTGTTCTGTTCTGCAGTCTTCGCGCAGACTCCGTGTAGGCCCGTCAAGGCATTTTGAGTACTGTGATTTTTTCTAGCAGCCAGATCCTTGCACATATGTGTTCTCACTTGCACTGCAAAGGCGATCTTAGAGCCGGAGCCGCCAACACATCACTTGTACTGACAAGTTGTGATTTTCCAGTTGGAGCTGCAAAGCGCACGTCAACACTTGAACTGAACATCTGCCCGTGTAGGCGTCCGCGTAGGCAGCTGGAAGCTGACTTGCTGCCGCAGGTACCCTTTGCAGCGGCGTAAGCTTGCGGAGGCTTCTGCGTAGGTCTAGGTCCCCCAGTCCCTTTTTTGGGGAGGGTTCACCTACTAAGACTACAGAAAAAAGGCACCCTTATTCTAACCTCTCTACTGGAGGACCTAGTGGTGGAGAGGCCCTGAACCACCAAAAAAACACTGCCCACGTCAGGCAGAGGAAAGGGCGCGCAAACCCGTCAACGAGAGGCGGTAAGGGGATAACTTGGAGAATGGTTGAAAATTAAGCTGATGCTCCTAAGACTTGCTGCCACTATTGTTGACACTGGAAAGAACGCGTTGTAGAACATTTGGGGAGCGGGAGGTTTAGGTCAAAGACATGGTTTTTGTGATCAAGTAGTCGCCGAGGCGGAAACCCAACTTGGGTATCACAAAGTTCTTGCTCACAGCCTTAGAGGCTGCGAGGGGAGGTTAGCAAATATATTCTAAAGAGAGGGCCCAGACACTGCACTGAACCTCGCTGCAGGGTAGAGTCATAGAGTCCCCAGGATTTTGTACGTGGGTTTGTGCCAACGTTATTGTCATGTTTCCAGCTGCCTATGATTGTCGAGCTTCTAGCGGATGATTTAGCTGATCACCACCCAGCTTTCTTTTCAGGGTCTTGAGAGCAAGCCTGCAACACCTAGGCATTGTCAGATCTCCCAAAGCTGTCAGTGGCTGATTGGAGATCTGTAAAGTGCTTTTTTGTTTGGTTTGATTGTGAAGCCCTGCTTGGTTAGGTAACCTACCGTCAGAGGCAAATATCCTGCTTAGCTTTGGCAGTACCTGGGTCCATTGGGGTGCTAGACGCACAGCTGACACACAGCTGAGGAAGAGTACGAATTCGGGGACATCAGCAAATCTCTCCTGAGACGCTTGGACACAATATCGGTGGCCTTTCTCAGAAGGGTTCCAGCTGCTTGGGTGCTCCCCATGTGTAAAGCGACACACTCCTTTCACCAGCCCAACATGTTCCACTGGGAAACGCGTTCATGGCACGGTTGACTCAAGTTGTGGTTGCTTTTGGCTAGCAACACTGAAACAAGCTGAATCAAGCATAGATTTCCATGCAAGTGTTCCCCCTAAGGATGTTGAGTGCATTCAGCGGTTGTCGTTGCAGGCATGGCCACTCGTCAAGTGGCTCCTGGCCCAACTCCACCAAGGTCGTGTGAAGAAAAGTCGCAGCTGAGCCAATGAACTGCACGCGCGCGCTGAGCCAAACTTGCCACCCGGAGATTGGAACACGGGGAGTCTCACCAGCCGATGGGTCCGACGCGTCCCACGTCGAACCGGGAGATGGTCAGAACTGGCGTGCGGCTCGCGACATGCAACTCGCGACATGCGACCTGACGACCTGTGAGGGCCTTGAGGCCATCCAGGTGTTGAAGCGGCCAGGTGCCGTCGGGCTTACAAAAGAGCCGAGCCGCCTCAGATTGCCAGACAAAACAACTTGCTTGGACTGCCGATATACATATGCTGGTATTGCAGAACTTCAGGTGCAAGGTTTCCCGGCACATGTTCCAAGTGCTGCAAAGTGGCTCATGACTCATGTTCCTGCCAAGACTCGGTCACATTGCCATTTGCAAGGCTCCAGAAAAGGAATGCCGCACCAAAGGACGCTGAGACTCCCAGCTTGGAATAGGAACAGGGAACTCGAGCTTCCTTGTGGGTGATCGATGTTTATTTGGACATTGACTTAAAGAAACCCCGAGTCACTTTCTTTTAAGGCCCATTTCGGCCTGAGTTTCCCTAAAATATTGGCCATGATCCCGCATTGCTTCGCTGTGGTTTCTTTTTCCGCGGGCATCTTTTGCTGGATGCGGGATGTGTTTCAAGAGATCCTGGTAGTGATTTTTGCATGACTCCAACGTCACCTGTTGCCCAGCTTAAGCTGTGTGTGAATATGTCTCCTTTCTACCGGGGTGGTAGTTCTCCTGTGATTTCGCCAGGTTGTAAAGATGCCCAGTGAACACCGCAATCCTTTCGGCGCGAAGGCGCCTGGAGTCATCGGTAACAAAAACGCGTTCGTGCATGAGAATGTTTTGCGCTCAAACTGGTAGCGGAGCTGTCACCAAGAACTCCCCCTTCAGGTCTCGCAGGCCTGCGATCCTTGATCGTTAGCGTGGCGTAGATTTGCAAGCCAGACTTGGCATATCGGGTGAACAGACTCTAGAGGATCGTGCGTGTTGCTAAGGTAAGTGACTTGAAGTTTGCGAACAAGGTGTTGGAACTTGCTCTTATGGACAAACACATGAAGGTACATTCCAGGAACCTTTTGTGGGATGATGTGGCACCACGGATGAATCTTTCACGGCAGAAGACGGTCACAAGTCACAAGGATGAAGATTCCATTCTGTGGCATTCGTTGACTCCGAAGCACCTAGGCGTGACATGTGTCCCATTGCGTTTGCAAGTGCGGCCCTGAAGAGACCTGCATGCAGGTCTACGCTACAGGCCGAGGCATATTCGCTCAGCGCAAGTGGAACACGGAGACAAGATCCGTGCACTGATTGCCGAGATGCAGGACACAATCGACCGGGAATGGGAACCGTTTTGCAGGAAGACGGTCACTTGTGTCAGTGACTGTCGTTCGCGGGTGGACTCACTGGAGAATGCCGAGCTTCCGGCAAACGCTGTCGACTAAACTAACAGCACTCAAGCAGAGTTTATGGCACTCCCTCAACAAAAGTTCTGCGTCCAGGCAGAGACCTACTCCGTTGGACAGACGCTTCGGTCATAATGGTGTCAGACCGCCTTATCGAGACGATGAAATTTCGCTGTATGATGAAGCGCGTTGCCAACGCGGAAGATTTTCACACGCGTGTGAAGGCTAGGGCCTGAGGCCGAAGAACTACGACGGCCCAGTGATGAGAAGCTCTTTAGTGAGCTACGACCGTAGAGACGGGAGTGTGAATATGCTTCCTTTTTTTGCGCCAGGTTGTATTGATACCCTGTGAATACAGCAGTCCTTTCGGCACGAAGGCACCTTGAGTCATGGGTGACGAAAATGCGTTTGCATAGGATTGCTTTGCATTCAACTTGTGCTTCCTTTTCACGGGGCGAGGTTTGAAAGTGAGCATGAGACCCCATTTTTGTCGCCTCCGTTTGGAGACATACCCGGTTTTGCTGCGCACTTTCAATGGAATGATTCGGCGGCAAACGAGTGGTTCTGGGCTTGCTCAGGTCAGCTACACACTCACCGCAGCCAGGAGGAGCCCGAGTGAGCCCATGCGAAAGGGGCAGGTTGTAGGGTACTAACCCAAATGCCTCGTGATCATTGGGGCACACTGCGTTGTTCCTTATAATGACCGTGTCCCTTTCGTTTTGCTCGGGGGTTTTCAGAATCAGGCAGCCAAAAGCCACCGGCAGTCAGGCAAGTTGGGCCGTATGCATCACGACCGGTCCTGTGACCAACATGGTCAAGTCGATTTGAGCCAAGTTCAAAATCATGGTGGTAAACCACAATTTAAGGGTCACTTTCTAAGATACCGGAAGAAATGCTCAACTGAAGTGTATTCATGGGGATGGCGGCTTCGCAGAAAGGAGCCCATTTTGTTGAGCATGGGGATGCGCCTGCTGTTTCCCATGCTTTACACCGCGGTCGTTTGAGTCTTCGACGAACATTGCAATTGCAATTGTTGAGGGAGCCAGGAGCCGTGCTCATGTCCCAGACAGTGAGCCTTGCCAATGGCACAAAGGAGGTTCAAACCGGTTGCCTGTTTGCACAATGTTTTTTGATAGCCAGGTACGGCGAAGGCAGCCGCGGGCCAAGTGTCGTTTTGTGATTCAGGGGTTTTCCTTTTACACTCCCTGCTTGTTTGGTGTTCTGAGAGGTTCGGGGGGTACTCGATAAGATCTGCTTAGGGCCGGGGTTCTCGATCGGAGGCCGTGGTGTGCATTGGGTGTCGGGTGATTCTGCAGGTTGGGCAATTGTTGTTATCGCGACCTTAGAAAGAGGGACGAAACAACTTCAGGGCCCATGAAAGGTCCACTTTTGTTTTCAGCCATTGCAATTCACTGACCCATTGTACACGATTGTTTTTGTGGATCGGAGTGTTTGTCCCGGTGCACCGAGTCGAGTGCGGGAAATGCAGATTGGGAGCCTGGCAAACAGCGCAGGGAAGTTGCGTAGCCTCAGAAAAAAACAGACCCCATTTAAAAGATTCGGATCTTGTGTGACTCCCTGGGCACTCAGACATCGGGGCCTGACGCTCTGCCGCCTCCCCGAGGCCATCGGAGCGGCGTCTCGTCCCCGCGGGGAGCTCAGCGCTGCGAGTTGGGTCCCATCGGTTCCCATGTCCCGTCTCGGATGGGGAAGCGGAGCGCAAGCGGGAGAGCAGGCATTTTTTGTTGTGCCACTCGAAGAACAGCTGTCACACTTTTTTTTTGGGGGCCCTGTCAATCAATCAAAGGGGTAGCCATGGGCAGGCAACCAGTCGCCGACTTCAGCTTTCGACCGCACCAAAAGAAAAAGTGTTTGATTCTGGTCCTCATTTAGCGAACCAAGTGCTTTTTTCTTCTTCGAAGGAGACCCGGTCATACTTTTGGAATCTGCACAAACCCCCACAACCCCTCGTTCACCATGCTGCTTGACTGGGCGGGAATTCCCACCGAATAAGCAAAACACATAGAGCAAACAACTTGAAGGCAAAACACGGAACGTCCAGTAGGGGTCGTTTCCAAGAGGTTTGAGCTACAGATTAGCAACCAATCTTCCGCTGAAAGAGCAAGCAACTACAGTGACCTTCCAATCAATTGGAACCTTGCTTTGGCCCGTTCATTCCATGTTGTGTGGTTGGAGCGTCAGAAAGTGCTTTGACGGGGCCGGTAATCCACTGACCACCTGCCCTAATGGGTGCTTGCCATATATGAGGGAGGCACTTTGATCACTATTAGCCCTGAAGAACGCCCCTCGAAAGCAACCATTGAGTCTTCCTCTCCCCTTAGGGTCGCTGTTGGAGTTCAGATTCGACTCGGCGCCACAAAATGCCGTGTGTCCTGGGGGTTCTGGATTCTATTGGGGGACACCCTCAGTGGACATACGATAGATCTCATGTAAAGGATGCTCACCAAGCCCCCAATTCCCATACTCGGGTGATCGAGTGTGCCAGGCTCCCGCGGGAAGATCAGGCTGTGGGAACCGGGAAGGGGAAGGGGACTGCCGCCGAATGTGTTGTATGTCCCTGCGTGGAAGTTCAAGGCGCACACCGTGCCGCGTAATTTGAGCGTTCTTGGCATGTGTCCCAGATCAAGGGGCACCAATTTTTCAGGATCCGAGTAGCTTCTGAGGAGGTAGGTACTTGGACCCTCCAGAAAAAGGCAATCAAAAGTTCGGGCTCCTGTGTTCATCGTGTGCAGGGAGGTACTTGGCTCGAGCTCTCAAGATTCAGCGATTGGTCAGGGCGCCCTACATCCGACTTTGCTTCTGAGGGGACATTTCCGTTGGGAAAGACCAATTCAAAAAGCAGCTTCCTTTTTGTGGCTGGTGAAGCTTTTGGCTTGGACATACAGTTGGGACCTGATACTTGTAGCGGTCCACTGTGTTTTTTTTTGGTGCGTAAATCCGCATTTGGTGTTTCTTCTTGGAGGCGCCTTTTCCCGGGCCCCAAGCTTTTCGGTTCGTTTCTTCCCATGGAAAAAAAGGGTTGGGGGTCGCACGGGCCTTCCCATCCTCCCGCAAAAGAGGCGGCTGAAGCGGCTGGCGCGGTCCCGCCTCCGAGGTCCAGGCGGGGCGGCGCGCCCTGGCGGCGGTGAATCATGGCGCTGGCGGGTCAAAGGAACCTCTCCCCCCCCCCTCCGGCACTAGAAAAAGGAGCCGTTTCTTGTTTTTTTTTTGGGGGGGGGGGGGGGGGGGGAAGGAAATGAGAACCATTGTTGGGCATTGGTCTTGATATTTCTCTGCAAATGTCACCTTGTGAGCAACCTCGTTCCTTTCAGGCCATGCAAGGCTTCTCAGAATAGCAACTGAGTTGACTCATTATGACGCTTCCCTGCAAGGGAAAAGGTAATGTTGGTTGTGGCGTGAAAACCGCTGTGCGAGCATGCGAATGCATGGCTTCTGGCATCACCAGCTCGAGAAGATATTTGCCTCCTCAAGAATGGCTCGTTCGAAAAGACCCTTCGTGCCAAGACGGAAGTTACCAGATACTTTAAAGAGGAGAGTCCTCTTTTTAAAAGGTCAGGGCAATCTGACACGCGTAGCGTGCCTGGGCAGTCACGAGCGAACCCGTGCTCCACTCTGACTTAGATCCCTGTATTTCCGAGTTTCCCTTGCACGTTTTAGCCCATCCAAATACGGGGACTTTCACCACTTGTAAACCCGACAAAGGCATCTCTACGGGTGCTGCGGGACACTATTTCTGAGCGGGTTTCGTCTTCAGGACGCCCACGCCAACACCAGACCTTCAGCAACACATAGGCGAGGCTGTGAGCAGGAGAGAGAGAACGAGAGAGAGAGAGGGAGAGAGAGAGAGAGAGAGATCGGGACTGTCCCTACCCTTTCAGAAACAGGGTTAATCATTAAGGGGCCCCCCCACCCACCAGAATGGTTCTCAGAACCGTTCTAATTCAGAACCGCTCTCAGAACCTTTCCTGGGTTGTGGGCCCTATTTGATTCGAACCGCTTCCATCAAAGCACCTTCGCTCAAAACGCTTTACTGGGGGCTAAATAGCCCGCGTGTTTCAATATCCTCAACGGGAAACCAAAGAAAGCTAAAAAGGGACCGGAAAGGTATCTACGGTTTGCACCCTCTATTTTGCAGGTAACACACACTTGTTTGATCGCCGTGTTTATGAGCGTGAGGAATTTGCATGGACTGTTTCATCCCTATTGTTACGGAATGTGTCGCTGCTTGGCCAGTGTGTTTCATGGTCCCCTATCAGATTCCTGTGGTTGCTGGCATGGAGATAGATGCTTCGCAGAAAGCAGGCCTTGTACAATTGTGTCCTGCATCATCATATTCTCGTAGTCTGGTCGTGGTGATGTGCAGTTGCAGGCGCCAGCTGGCTTCTGACACATGACATGTTGGTTGTTCCTTCGAAATGTCGGTTTAGTTATCTCCGTTCCAATGCGTTCCACTATCGCTTGTGGCTCCACATTTTTCAACGATGCTAGCTTGCATTCCGCAGGCTGGAGGATTTGCGTCCCAGTCTTTGGCTATTGAAAGAGCTTAAATCTGAAACCGGAGTTGATCTAAAAAAAGAGCTCGCATTGCAAAGAATTAAAGAGGCGGTTGAAAAAGCAAAAAAAGAGTTATTTGTGGCACGGAATCAACAGAAATTAATTTAGAGAGCGTCCTTTCATGGGGGGTGGGTTTTTGAAACCCACAAAATGCACCAGTTTCAACCCCACAAGAGAGAATTACGCGCATTGAGGCAGATAGAGATTCAATATTATGCGGGCAATGCACTTTTAGTGCCAGGGACCTTGGATGTTGTGCCCAAATTTGCTTGTCTGTTTCAAGCAGGCTTCATCAGACCATTGGACCTTGAAAATTGGCCCAGAATTGCTTGTCGGTTGCAAGCTTACACTATCAGACAGTGTTGAAGAAAAGGCCACTCGCCGAAAGTGTCTTGTCTATTAGCAGTGTATCTGCAATTATCTTGGCATTTGTCTTGTCGTTCCTGTTGCAGTGTTTAGCATTAGAACTGAACTAGAATTCAATAGAGCCCTTTGTGGAAACACAAGTTGGTCGTTTCTTCTGAATTGCCTGCCTCTTAAAAGGAGACAAACCAATAGAAGCTCAAAGGACATGCAATGTCAGTTCTGTTGGTTTACAAGTTTTAGATTGCGCCGCTTTAGGTTGAATCATATCTCGATTAGCCTTCAAGTTGACATAGTACGTTGAACTAGAATTCAAATAGGTGTCCCTTCCCAAGTAGGATTTTAGTTGGGAATCTAATAAGGAAAGAGAAACTTGTTGTTTCTTCTAATTTGCAATGCACGCCTCTGAAAAGAGGCGAACACCCATGGAAAAACTGAGTTCATGACACGTTGTTTGCCAGGTTTACATTGCGAGGTTTTACTTACATTCAGAGTTGGATTCGATCAGACTTCACTTCATTTTCTTGAACTAGCTATTAGTCAGCACTTCCCTTCCAAGCAGGGTTCCAATTAGAAGTTAATGGGCACCTTGAATTTAACTGCTAGTTTTAGATTTGTAATGGGGTCTTATCCAATCATACTGTCAAGTAGAACTTAGTTATATATTTGTTTTAATTGTACATGTTAAGTAAATTGTAAACAGGAATTCCATCCAACTCTAAATGGGAATTTCTTTCCAAATATGATCTGTATTTGACATGTGTATAGCTAGAACCTAGTAAGGAAAGACAAGCTAGTAGTTTCTTCTATCTGATTCAATTATAGCTGCTGTTTTGAATCATAATTTAGCTGGGATGTCCTTTCCAAGTATCTAGGAATTTGATTAAATTTTAGACATAATTTGGATAATATGGTAAGGAAAGACAAGCTGGCTTTGTCTTTCAGTTAATTTGAAAACTCGAGTTTTTTTGGTTTTTCTGGAAAAGTGTAAAAACCATGAGTTTTCCAAAAAAACAAAAAAAAAACAAATTTCAGACCCTATGTATCCATGCTGGCCGAGTTAGGGTCTGACATGTTTTTATTTTATTACTTTTTAGAAAACTCGAGGATTTTTGGTTTTTCTGGAAAAGTGTAAAAAACCTCGAGTTCTCAAAAAAATAAAAATCAGACTCTATGTATCCATGCTGGCCGAGTTAGGGTCTGAAATGTTGTTTTTTGTTGTTTTTGGAACTCGAGGTTTTTTTTTGGGATTTGTTGGAAGCATCAACAAGAATATACACAAACACAACCAAATCCCTGTGTTGCAAAAACCCACCCCCCCATGAGGGGCCCTTCTGGTAATTTACCATATATAACAGCTGATGCGGCGTATTCAAGAAGTTGAAATATTGATTGTATATGTTTCCATTAAGAAACAACTTTCACCGTAGCCATTTTGGTTCAAGCGAACCCAATATAAAGCAAGCGAGACGTTGCAATGTCGAAAGCTGCTTCAGAATCCTTCTGGACACTCAAGACGCAGCAACGCAGAGAGCAACAAGTTGCTCCTGAACAGCTTGAAGGTCGAGAGCAACCAGCACAGGGAGCTGGGGCCTGGATGTCGAGGCAGCCCGCCGCCTGCTACTACTGGCAGGACGGCAAGCGGCGCTGGGAGTGGGGTGGGTGGCTGTGGATCTGGGCGTCGGTGCGATGCCAGTGCTACGGCCTCAAGGTCGGCTTTCGGTCGCGCTAAGTTTTTTTTTCATTGAAAAAGCATGCCCTCCTGGGCCTTCGCGCCGCTCTGCGCGCCCTTGCAGGTCGAGGAAGGCTGGTGGCTCACGCGCCTCGACGGCAGCCTGGCCGAGGGAGCGGCCCGACGCCGCCTTCCTGGGCAGAGTGGGAGGAGGAGGAGCGAAGGGCCTGCGCTGATCGGCGCGATTGGCACTGGCAGCAAATCGCTGCCGTGTCTAGCAGCACGCCGGTAGCAGTTGCCAAACTTGCGCATCTAGCCGGCTTTGGCTGACTTGGGAACAGAGCGCCGGTTGAGAGGAGGGAGAGTGAGCGAGAGAGAGAGAGGGAGAGAGAGAGAGAGAGAGAGAGAGAGAGAGAGAAAGCGAGAGAGAGAAAGCCAGCGAGAGAGCGAGAGAGAGAGAGAGAGAGCGGAGAGAGAGAGAGAGAGAGAAAGAAAGAAAGAAAGAAAGAAAGAAAGAAAGAAAGCAAGAAAGAAAGCAAGAAAGAAAGAAAGAAAGAAAGAAAGAAAGAAAGATAAAGAGACGAAGGCGTTTGTCTTTGGTTGCAGAGGGCTAGCCAGCGTTCTGTTATCACACATGTCATCCTACTGCTCTCACATCCATGTACATACTCGTGGCCCTACGGGCCCTTGAGCACACCTGTCCCTGAGACTACAAAAGGAGCCATGCAGTGCTGCGCAAGTCAAGGCTACCTGAGGCCCTACTTTGTTGTAACATTTTGTATTTTTTATCGTTTTCATATACTCCATATTCAGATAATTTATACCCTGCCTCTTTAGCAATTATGCTCATTTTTTTAAAATACAGGAGAAGTATTAAATATCTTTACCTTTCACCCCAAGGGGTAAAAATCAGCAGTGCGAAAGTGCTTATACTGTGCAGCTGAGAGAACTTGAGACATCATGGAGACACGTTTCCGTTCTGCCGAGAAAATATCCTCTCGTCATGCGAGGTTTTGAGGACAATATTTCCGTGCGACACACAACCCGAACCACAGACTGCACCGCCTTTATTGGATTTCCGTCGCGTGGAAAACCCGCACTTATTGAGTCTTCACTTCATAAAAGAACAATACAACCAGGCGTTTGTGGAACAACAACAGAAGTAAAAACATATGACATTATTGATGATGAAAAGAACTGTTTTTATGTCTTAGTTTTACCTGGAATATGCAATGCCGAAGAAAAAGATTGTAAATTCCAGGGTTGGGGTGTACAAACTATTGAAAAACTAATTTAATTTGCTGGGTGTCAGATGTTAGATCTGCTTTTCAGACATCATACGAAGCTGAAGATTTTGAACTATATAGTATTAATAGAAGAAACACCAATTAAAATAGTTGATGTAGACTTATTATTTTATTAAAAGGTCATGTAGAAGAACAGAATACGTAACGATATTCTTGATTTTTCTTCAATGATAGCAATGATGAAATAACTGAACTAGTTGAAGACACAACAGCAACACATATTATTCAAAAGTCCCCCCCTAAAAAATGTAAATCATTTGATATTCCAAAATTTTATAAAAGATATTGAGAAAGAAATTAAAAGTTTATGAAAACACATATTCTGTCATAATTTGAATCAGTAAAAACATGTAAAGCGCATCATATACTAGATTTACGAGTTGTAGCCAAAGATTGAAGTTAGCACCTAGAAGTGCTAGTGTGTCTTGCACAGGACCATGGGGATGGTATATAACGTTGCGACTAGATAAACCAACTCCATGATGCAAAACGGCTCAAATGGTGGATATAGATGTATATATGCATTTATCGCAAAATTCTTCCTTTATCTCACATACATAATTTGTTCTTAGGTCTTTTGCCATTTTATATGGGTGTAGTCTACATAAGACTTAATTTGGTTTCCCCAGGATGCGTTTCTATATTTTGCTTGATTTGCATTTGATTCTTGCTGTTTTTTCTTGAATTCGTAGTTCTATGTACGCGCTCTCAAATTTCTTTGCTGATTCTTTGTTTTTATGCTGAGACCTTTGGTTGTTGCTTGGCCTTCGTATCCGTGACAGGGCAAGCCACCAAGCAATCGTGACAACAACAGCTCATGACTGTTCTTCTGATTGACTCTTGGGCTGATTCGGCGTTGGTCGACCAAGGAGCCTTATTAGAAACCCCATGTCCCAGCGAGTCAAGTGCAAGAGACAAATCAGCATTGCCAGGCATACCAAAGCCGCCGGAGGCGCGGCCGGAGGCGCCGGAGGCGCGGCCGGAGGCGCCAGAGGTGCGGCCGGAGGCGCCAGAGGTGCGGCCGGAGGCGCCTCAGAGGGCTGGCCAGAGGCAGTTCCGTTTGGTTTGTCGTTAACTAGCGGACCCCCTAGAAAGGGTGGTTTTCCTTTGTTTTTTTTGATCACGCAACTTTGAGGCGGCAGGTTGGGCCCATACCATATGGCAGGTGGTCAGTTTCCCTTCGAAGGTTCCTTTTGGCAACTTTGACAAAAAGGATGTGTCTGTTTTTAGGGCCCCCCCCCTAAATTGTAGGTCTCCTTGTGGTTTCCCCTTGAAACCAGCTGAAAATCCGGCACCCTCAAGAAAGGACAGACCCAAATAAGTTTGCCCGCCAAATAGAGGGTTTGTCAAACCCCGAAATGATTGCAACAGGGTTCCCAAGCTGCCCAAAAAAACAAGTTTGGAATCTGGTGCTGCGGGTAGTATTCTGTGCACATGGCAACAAGCTCACCGATCGGGACAAAACGAGCGCACCTCGAATTTCCTTTGCTACTCCTTTCCGCCTCGCCGTTTGGCTCGTATCGAGGTGCCGCCCATTGCGCTGCCGAAGCCACAGCATGCGCGACCGGTGCCGCAGCTCCCGCCCTTTGGCCTGCGGAGAATTTCGAGTTTCTGGGAGCTTAAGAGTATCGAATCGCTACGCGATCCGCCGGCGCCATTTGTGGTGCAACGACTGCCGCGACTGTTATATACAATGCCAAGACGGCTAAAAAAGTCCAGTTTTCGCGTGTATCATTGTATGATTGTATGAATTTCGGACCTGAAAACTCAGTATGCACGTGACAGTTATACCAGGCCGGACTAAATGTCCAAACCCAAAATGTCCAAGCCCAAAAGTGTTTGAGGCGTTCGAACACCTAACACACCGGACAATTACAGGGTTTTGGACACCCGGCACATTTTGCCCAAACAATGGCCTCCCCGAAAGCCTTCAGCTTTGAACCAAATTTCCGAAGGAAGAGCATGTTGCGGATTGCCATCTACGCGCTCGACTAATTTCAGCGGATTTGTTTGGGGCGTGTTGGTGCCCTGTTCAGCTTGGTTCTAAGGGACACCACAAGGGAAAACCACAATATGGGGGAAGTTTTTCCCCGTAGCAAACAGGGAGGGGATGGATTTGGCTTTCATTGCCAGTGCTGATTCTGGATGGCTCCCCTGGAAAACGATGCCGGGACGTTTGCTCGCTCATGCCGTCCAACAAAAGCCTAAGACCCAGCCTCCTTTTGTCCTTCCAAAAAGGCACCTCACCACTCACCACCCCTCCAAAACAAAAAGCAACCTTAGAGGAACACCAGTTGCATGGCAGGCCCCAACAAACCTCAGCTGTCCAGAGCGAAAACCTTTTCGGTTCTGTTTTGTCGGAGTGGCGTCCCAAAAGCGATGCCCTGCTTTGGTATGCCTCAACAAACCCAGAGTGAGTATTGCTTGCGCTACTTGCTCATGGAGGTTGAAGCGGGTGATAGCGGGTGTGCTTGCTTGGTTCGGGTGCCATGACTTGGAGAGCATAGAATATGTAAGAGCAATGCACTGAAAAACACAAGCGCAAACACATGCGGGAAGCAACGGGGGCGTCCCGGATTTGCGGTGTCCTTTGCGGGACACAAGGGGTTTAGACGCCGCACAAATGGCTGTGGGTCAAAACCAATGGTGCCATTTTGGGGATGGCGCACCACCCATTTTATGGGGATTGGGATGTTCACTGGGTGTACGGGCTTTTGACCCATGACCAAATGGCTCCATGCAACCTACAAAAGGGAACCGCAGCTGAGAAATCGGAGCACCCCTTTGGCTGAGGACTCCCGCAGAGCAGTGGCGCGCCCCGGAGCTCGAGCTGGAGAAGCGGTGCGTCGCGCTGCCTGGAGCGGGCGTGAGCCACGTTTGAACTTGGAGGTTTTTGGCCTGAAGATGAGCAAGCAAGCTTTGGGTAAAAAGTTTGGGAACTTCGAAGTTTGTCGGGGTAGCGGGGGCTGCACAGAACATCATGACATGGAATTGTTTGCTGAAATACTAAGGGCTGGAATGGATTTCAAATATCCAACCAATTGGGCAGCGTCCCGGCAGGCTGACATTCCATTGATTCATGTTGCTTTGGCTTGGCGTCAAAGGGGCGTGGTTTGTGGCACTTGTAGATAGGGGAACAATCCCTTGCAGAAGGATGCGCCTACCTCAGAAACCTGGTGTTCCTGAATGATGGTTCTGTAACAGCAGGAGCGTCGCAATATGTCCGGCTTCCTTTGCTTTATCCGAATTTCTATCATCATTATGTTTTTCCACTAGTGGCACCCCCAACAGGAACTCGGGCAGAGACCCCAAGCTTAGTCTTTGGCAGGGCCAACCTCAGGGACCGTTGATGGTTTTTCCGGCCCCTTGTCAGATTTAGGCGGCAGGGCGTCCCGTATTGGGTTCGTCACAATGTGTGATGCAACTGTTTTCCCTTTCAAAACAACCCAGAAACAGGGGGCAGCCTCAAACAAAGGCACACCCACAAGAGTGGACATGACATCTAGGGAACCCTGTCAGCGCTGATTGATGGTGGTTTGTTGTTTGCACACACTCCAAATCACAATGTGAAACACTGGAACTGCCTTCACATACTTGTCCTGTGGAGACTGAAAGCAAGTGCTGGACATTCTGCTAGGACTATCTTGAGCAATGCTGATCAGGATTACTCCGAGCCCCTGAAGAGTCGAGCCACATTTATTGTATAATATATATACCTTGCCGATCGAGTCTGGAGCAACCCTGCTAGTCCTCGAAAGGGACATGCGCAGAATGAGGCACCACCAGCGCCGCCAATGCCGCCCACGCCCACGCCGCCCTCTTCATCACAGCGGTCGCATGACGCCGGGCACCCCAGTGAGGAAGTTTGCGCAGATCTCATAGGTTGGCATGTGCAAACTTGAAAACCCTTTTGGGAGAACCACAAGTCCATGGTTTCTTTTTGGAGCCTTTGTGGGCCTACGGCTCCGGCTCGGTTGAAACATACAGTTTGGTCAAACAAAACCAAGCGGGCGAAGCGCAATCTTATGATGCCCAGCGACCAAAGGTACATGTTCTGCCTATTTCATGGCGAGCTCACCTGGGTGTAAAGCGAGCTCACCAAGATTGAAGTTCTTTACTTGAGATCCCTTATTTCAGGTTTTGGAATTGTTTTTGATGTTGCAGATTGTTGGAAGCCGATTCTTTGGATCCTCTGGGTTGGGGGCGATCCAAAAGGCCCAAGCCTTGTGTTCTACGGTTTTGTTTTCATGAACTTGCCCCGCAGAGGGCTGCTATTAGACATTTGAGTCATAGTAAAAACCCGGTACACAAATGGCTAACCCAGAACCATGTGAAGAATTCAGAGGCGGCCACACCTATTTGTGGTTGGGATCGGATCGTCCCTTGCTAACCTGGTTTCGATTGTGACTCAGTGCGCCTTTTCCTGGTTGTTGTTGGGAAACATTTTACATTTACATTTTCGCCTTTTCTGATTTAGTGGGAAATCCGCACTTAACTGCTAAAGTTCAATTCTTTGCTCCCCTTCAAACGTCAACCAGGTTTTGGTCTTGGGGCAAGGCGGTGATTTTGCTAGGCCCTGCGGCGGGTCCACTTCCGAGGCGCTGCCGCGGCGGCTGAAGCCCCACACCTGGGATATCGCAGCACTGGGCGGCGGGGAGTCCCAAAAGGGGAGGGGCAGAAGGGAGACCGAAGGTTCCCATGGCGGGAAGTCGTGTTCCGGGGGGGGGTAATTAGGGGGGAGGGGGGGTGCGGGAAGTTCCCAGAGTTGGAGACAAACTCGATCTTGATGCTTGGGTGGTTTTGGTTCATCCTTTGGGAAGCGCCGGGCTTGATCGAGTTTCGATTTGGGGTGTGTTTAAGGACACCGGAGAGTTGTTTTGAGAAGGCCTCCAAAGAGGGTTGCCATGACTTCCTGGGGGTCACCCTGGAGAGTTATTTTGAGAAGGCCTCCAAGGAGGGTCCAGAATTTGGGCAAAGGAGCAGCGTGCCAAAAACGAGGGGGGAGAAGGAGTACAATAGTTTCAAGCGCGGGGCGGATATATGGGCTGCGTACCTGTTTTGGGGTTAGATAAAAAGGGAAGCCAATGGGGGCACAGCTCATGTTAGCGCAAACCCAAAGGAACCAGGCGAAATAAGTTTTTGGGGCCATCCGCTCCATTGGGTCGTTGTGAGAGGGGGGTGCTGGTTTGGACCATTTTCCTTTTAAAGGGACTGGGTGGCAGTAGTTGATTATGAAGCGAAATCCCTGGCAACCTAGGAGGTCTGGGATTAAGCAATTGGCCTGCCCAAGCGGCAAGGTTGAAACCACTCGAAAAGAGGGACATATTGAAGATCCCCGGCTCCAGGATGGACGTTTCACTACATGGACCGGGTTCCAACTTGAGCAAGTTGAGCAGTTAATAGGGTCGCTCCGGGATTTCTTGGGGAAGCGGGCGCCAAGGCAACTCAAGCAATTTTCGACCCTTGGTTACTGGTTTGGTCGCAAGCTCCAGTTGCCAGTTAACCTCCTGCAGCTTCAACTTGGAATCGAAGCCCCTCCCCAATTCCGGAGAACTTGCTGCGAGCACGTGACTGCCTACTTTCGGGCGCTTACCTTCCGTGCTTTTATGTTTGCTTCGCGGCATGAACATTAAGAACACTTTGGCATTACATTCTCGGAGCCTGTGGATAGGGGTTTCCAGACATGGCGCCTACTGATTTGAGGGATGGCTATTTGGGTATATGTTTGGTGCATGGTTTTGTTTGCAACCTGGTTCTCCACCTTCTTCGGGGAGAACTGCCAAAGAGTACCGAAACTTGGCACCACGACCCTTGAGAAGGCGACGAGACTTTGGGAGATTCTTTCGAGCCGGCAAGATGGCTTTATGGTTTTGCTTGCACTCCAAGCGGGCCAAGCCATTGATCGGCCAATTTCCCTTGTCCATTGTGTGCCGAAGGCGATGCGAGAGGCCCTGGAGATCCCCATGTACAGTTCCATTTTTGGTTTACCGTTTTGTGAAGACTTGGAATTGGGGAACTTCACCCCCACTCCGTTTGAGCTTGGATCCGCGGGCTTCCCAGCCTCGTCCTCCTTGAGGTGGGGGGCCGAGGCGGGGGAGTTCCAGCCCACGTCTCGAGATCGTGCGCAGGCGATGAACCCAAAAGCCCGCAGGACAGGCCACTTTTGTGCCCTTGCATCATTGCAGGCACCTACAGACAAAGCAAAAACAGCACGGACACACACACACACACACACACACAGACACAGACACAGACACAGACACAGACACAGACACAGACACAGACACAGACACAGACACAGACACAGACACAGACACAGACACAGACACAGACACAGACAGACACAGACACAGACACAGACACAGACACAGACACAGACACAGACACAGACACAGACACAGACACAGACACAGACACAGACACAGACACAGACACAGACACAGACACAGACACACACAGACACAGACACACACAGACACAGACACAGACACAGACACAGACACAGACACAGACACAGACACAGACACAGACACAGACACAGACACAGACACAGACACAGACACAGACACAGACACAGACACAGACACAGACACAGACACAGACACAGACACAGACACAGACACAGACACAGACACAGACACAGACACAGACACAGACACAGACACAGACACAGACACAGACACAGACACAGACACAGACACAGACACAGACACAGACACAGACACAGACACAGACACAGACACAGACACAGACACAGACACACAGACACAGACACAGACACAGACACAGACACAGACACAGACACAGACACAGACACAGACACAGACACAGACACAGACACAGACACAGACACACACAGACACAGACACAGACACAGACACAGACACAGACACAGACACAGACACAGACACAGACACAGACACAGACACAGACACAGACACAGACACAGACACAGACACAGACACAGACACAGACACAGACACAGACACAGACACAGACACAGACACAGACACAGACACAGACACAGACACAGACACAGACACAGACACAGACACAGACACAGACACAGACACACAGACACAGACACAGACACAGACACAGACACAGACACAGACACAGACACAGACACAGACACAGACACAGACACAGACACAGACACAGACACAGACACAGACACAGACACAGACACAGACACAGACACAGACACAGACACAGACACAGACACAGACACAGACACAGACACAGACACAGACACAGACTCAGACACAGACACAGACACAGACACAGACACAGACACAGACACAGA